TGATGATGTTGTTATTGTATATTTTACCATAGAAATTGTTGTATGGCGAGAAAGTTTGCCTGGAATAGTTCACAATTATTACTCTGTGACAGAAAATGAGAAGGTTTTGGAAGCTTTTATATCACTAGTGTTTGGCACATAGTGAGTGCAGTGAAATGAATTTTATTCCACAGAAAATGTTTTTTCTGGATGTTAATTTAATAGTAAAATTTCTTTAAAAATCTGCGGCAGCTTAATTTATCTGTTTTCTTGAAATGGTTTAACATTGGAAATTTTTGTTCATTATTTTAATTTGAAAAAAAAGGGGAATATGTTTAGCAGGCAGACAGTGTTAAGGAATTTTGAGTGTTAATTTAGAATAATGAGAAAATCATGTCAGCCTAATACAAATAAGAGTAACAATGGTTTGTAGTAAAAATAACTAGCAGAGGATTATACGTTGGTTGGAACATGAAAAACTCATCCATTTTACTTATCAAAGTATGTTTGGTAATGGAGATGTATTTTGTTGCTCGTTAATTCCATTGATTAAGCATTGAGCAAATATTTATCGTAATCTTTTGGGATTTTTCAATGTATTCTGCAACACTTACATTTTATGTCATGGGAGCTATTTAGCATTCTTGGCAAAGTGGTTTTTATGTATTGTAGATGTTTATTTGCATATGCTGACGACAATGGGATACTTGAAGGCTTGAATAATTCCTGATTTCCTTACTGCTAATATCTCTGTCTGAAATGTTGGCAAAGGGGAAATTGGCAAGTTCTATTGATGTTGTTTTTTCTTTTTTATGTTGTTTTTTTGATGCCAAGTTGTTATTTTATTCAAAGTTATCTAGACATTGAGCTGGTTCATTTCTTTCACATACTTTATAACATTGGCAATGTAGGTTATATTTTTTTTCTCTGGATCAAGTGTCCACTAGTACATTTCATATTGAGGGCAAATCATAAATACGATCATTGTTTATGTCTGCAACAACTTCAATTAAAATCTTGCTTTATATCAATGAGGAGTATTATATCAAAGCTATACTAATGGTAGGCCTTGCCACTGGCACATTTTACCCTGGTCAATCTTTTAAAAAACTATTGTTTGACATGATTTCTGTACTTAAAGACTGCACAATTTCTGCTTATTTATGGTGTGAAATTGTCTGAGAATAATGTCCTAATACGAACATTTGATGTACCTGATGTGTTGAAATATTGTCCAAATATCATAGGATTGGGTGTTGACAAGCTGATAAACCTTGTCAGGAATATTTACTTATTTGAAATTTCAAATACTTAAGAGGCATTAATGGTGAGTTAGTAAACAGGAAAATGGCACTTGATTTAATTTTTTTCCGATCAAGATAAATATTATTCATCAAGGGAGACCTGTTCTCTACATATGGATGTCAGTTATGAAATACACAAGTGTGAAAACTGTGTTCCTAGTGGCACTTGTTGTAACATTTTATAATCTCTATATAAAATTCTGAAAATTATTTACAATTAATACATAAATCAGTCTGTAAGTGTAAAGATAGTTTTGCTATGAATTTTTGAATCCATTTTATTTCACTTGTTGATTTTTTCAGATTCAAAACAATAAAAGTTGTGGATTACACATGGTTAACCTGAGTCTTACCATATTAAGTTTTTAACCATTACCAGTTACCTGGTGCAGCCAGATAATTTTTAATGGATTTGTCCATCTGTCTGGGGAAAATTTCAAAATAATAAATAAATGGTTTAATGGTTTAAACAATGCAGACCATAATACAACTGTATGGATGTGCCAGCTGATCTTGGTTTGCTCAGGTCCAATTGGTAAACCAAGCCGCCACCAGCTGACCTAGGGTAACATTTTATTATCTGAAGCTGACAAATGAACAACTTACAAGTTTAAAGGAAGTTGTAGTACATTAGTATTTCTTGTTAGATCATTGAAAAGGTTAATTAAAGAAACACTCCACTTGAGAAAAATAACAAGTAAGAAAAATAATTATGATACAGGCATTTATATATATCTGATGTGAAATTTTACACAAATCTGGAAAGACCTTAACATACGTAACAATTTAGTACATTTTGATGAATATTAACTTCTAGTATGATTCATTAATGTTAATTTTTGTTGACTATAAAACACAAGATTTCGGGATCAATTGCTAATATTAAAATACCCTCAGGAAGAAATGTATCATAAGGTAAAAATTTACACTTTATCAATGTAATATCAGAGATTATAATAACTTGCCTGTTTCATCAATATCATTTGAGAGCCAGGCATGCCTGCACATCTGTGCAGTTAAACCGAACTACAGAAATTTGTTGAAATCCTTGAAAAATTAAATAGAACCTGATGATTCAATTTCAGATCAGGGCAAATGAGATGTTCAAGAATTAGCATAGTAAAGATTTAAGTAATAGAAAGAGCATCGAAACACGAGGCTATCTGATTTATACGAGGGGGGATATTGATGTTCTTTCTCTTTTGTATCATAGTCAAACATAAAAAACACGTTCCCTGTTGTCACAATATGAAACCCCGGAGAAAAGTAACCAATGAACGAGCATCTAAATATGACATTTCTGTTGCTTTCCCTTTCTCTGCCGTTACAATAAGTAAACCCCAGCAAAAATGAGCCAATCAATGGGCATGCTCTGGAGTGCGGGTAACTAATACCTGCACTCCAGTTAACGCACCGTGCATGTTTATGTATACGATTTTACTCGGACACGTTTTCAACAGAAAGGTCCCCAAACTATGATACAAATCTTATTTGTAGTTACATTCTAATGATGCAACACATAATGTTCATGTATACATTTAAACATTAACAATTATTGTATAAGAGGTCTGTGAGGTCAAGGATTAAATTTGTAATTTTATAATCTGATTTTGTGGTAATCCTTCTTTACTTGATAAATCAGATTTTGATAAGAATCGGGCCTTCCACCTATAATAATAAAGATACAAATTTACATATTTTTACAAGAGATTATTCATTTGTTAAAACATGTTTCATTTTATTTTTTTTGGAAAGATTAACATATATTTTTCATCAGCTCTTTGATGTGTCATTTTTGCATTAAGGTTTATCTACCACAGTGTGGTTTTATTCTGTGAATCACAGAGATTGAATTATTACATTGTGAATTGTTCTTTTAGAATTAAACCTGTCAGATAAATATTTTAATTTTAAGGAAAATTGAGTCATGGAAAATGAGAGAGAAAATTTAAGCTGGAAGACTTTCATTGTCTGTTCTATAACCAACAGGGTCCTCCTTTTTAATGATTTATAATGTAATTTTACCATTTTTTTTTAAAATGAAGAAATGTCTAAACTACAATCATGCTCTTTTGGGCTTACATTGTATAGTTTGGGTTAGAATGGCTTGAGGTCAATATAAAAATATTGGTCATTGTAATCCAATATAAGCCATCAATTGACAAGTTAATATTGAAGCTTTGTCAATATCAAGTTTCTATTTTCTCCACATTTTATTCTGATAATTGCTCATATCCAGTGGTCATTACATTGATTGGATATTATGAATCATTGACTTCTATTGTTGTTGTCCTGACATTTTCTTGTCTCTGAGGTCAAGCTTAAACCAGTAATTAGACATTCAACCCATGCCAAGGTTTTCTCTTTGTTCTATTTAAAGGTTTTCATCAGTTTTTCCTAAACCTTTGTAGCTCCATTCTTTGAAGGCCAACTCATTGTTGTCATTTATTAACCTTTTTGGTTAAGCTTTTGATAATAGTCATTAACTTTAATACTTAAAATGCTTTTACATTGAAACTTCATTTCTTGGCTGCACCTTGAAAAGTTTTTCACACATATTTTCAGGTCAAAAGGTGAAGGTCACTGATACCTTTAATAGTTAAATCACTGGAAAAAAAGTGGAACCCACTGCTCCTCTGATAGCCCACCCTCTTAAAAATTGATTTGTCTTTATATGGCAGCAAGTGCCAGGCAATTTTTATTATTCTTATATATACACAATTATAAATTTGTTTCAATTGTTATGTGTTGCATTACAGAAAATCATTATTGACAGATTTTGTATTAAATGTGAATTGTAAAGCATGAGTTATCATGATATTTTTGTCTGAAGTTTTTGTTATGAGTAATTCATGTGCATGACAATCAAAGATAAGAAGCTTTTATGTTACAAAATCAATATTTTTATATGATTTTTTTCTGTGTTTAACTAAAGCAGAGACTCATAAAAGTTCCAATATTAACAACAAGTTATAAATATCTGCATGATAGTATTACAACCGTCACACACTGTTAACATAAACTTGATAGAATTGTTGATTATATCCCTTACAGGAAGCAGCCTCCACACTGCATCTCCTTCACTCAGATTATTTATAGATTTAGATGAGAGTAATATAAGAGGAAAAATAGTGTTCTTGTTACTGAACCCAAATTTTCTAAAGCCTGTAAGCATTTTTAAATCCCATACAGATCTACTGAAAAAATCATTTAAAAATAAACTTTTTTTATTGAGTCTGAATTATTTCAGAAGAGGCAGATTCTGAATCTTCAAAAGGAAAAAAGTAGAAAAGTAGTTTGACAATTTGGGTAGAAACTGTATGGTATAAGTGTTGTAAAGTTGACGAGAGAGGACAGGTGTGAAGTCTAGTAGATAAATATGCTTGTGTAGGCAAGGCCATATCTTCTATAATTGTATTGATAGAGATTACAGATTTACAGATAATCATCTCCAGTTAACCATCCCAGACTAGCATTGTACTATGTATTCCTCTGTGATACTTTCTCTTCACAGAAGTCCTGGTATATTTCTGATTTCTAGCAGTTTTTCTTTATTTTCTGTGATGTTAAGACTTTGCTACTATATCAGCCCTGTGTTTTTGATTTAGAAGTTGAGGAAGTTAATTTACTAGCAGTGGGTGCTTTATTGTTACTGGATTATTGTTTTAGTGAGATATTATTATTATTAAAGGAAGTAATTTTCAATATAAGTGATAGAAAGTTTTTGTTTTATAAATGGAATTTAAACTAAAGAGAAGGATGATATAATGTTCGAAGTTTGCAGTGAATTACATTTTTTTGTGTTTTATATTGTGGGGAGGTGATGACTTTTAGAAAGGCAAAGCAAAAACAACAACAATTCATTTGCAGAATCTGGAAATTCTAACAAAATGTAGCAGAAAAGTTAGATACCAGGGAATTGATAGATGAAACTATCTAATCAAATATGTAAAACTGTCAACACGACAACAGAAAAATTGTGTGGTGTTGTCTGAAGGAAAAGTAATTAGTGAAAGTTATACCACTGGGATTATAGGCCTCCCATTTTCTGATTTTGATTTCATGTTAATAAAACTGATATTATGTAATTTGTCTGTCCTGACATTGTTTATTGCTGCAGACAGCTAGAAATTTTTCTCAAGGGAGTAATTTTCATTTTATAGTGTACTTAATGGGATATCAATATACCTTGTCACAGTTTAAATTATTCCTTAAGGATATGATTTTAATTTCATCCCATTTCATTAATTTGACTTTTTTTTTCAAAGTTATCTTATACATTTTTTTTTTACAAGTTTATGCAGCTTACTAGATTTTTCAGTGGCTTTTTTATGTCTGGTTGATTATTTTGTAATATTAGAGGATCTTCTGGGTTGACCTACATGTTACATGCAGTTGGATTTATTCTCCCTTGCTATGTAATTGGGATATATATTGATCATAGAATGGATTTCATGGGCTGCTGTATGAGACAGGAATTCATGTTTGGTTTAAATGCTGTATTTTTATTTGTTTAGTGAAGAGTTTATTTGCATAAACTCCCAAGAGTGCAAAAGGATAAAGATTGGAACTATGCTATCCAAGCTTGAAATTTTATAGTTTATGTTGTTGACTTTTATGATGATTGAACCTGTTCCAAAAATAGTAATTGAAGCAAGAAGTTCGGAAATTTGTACATTTGGGGAAACATTGACAAATGGGGGTAGAATCGAAAAATATGAAGTTGTCACAAAATTCTATGGAAGAGATCGAGATATTTAAGACTGCGGAGTCTCCAACGGGAGAAAGGATTAAACTTTTTGTGGATGAGTTGGAGGCACTTGAGCCAATCGTTAATGTTGATACACCACGAGATTTCCCGTTGCAGCCATGTGTGGCGCCGGGAATGGATTTGGACTTTATGTTGGAGATCGATGAAGAATTAGAGTAAGTATTGAAACATGTTGTGTAGATATATTGTAATATGTTGGCATTATAATTGAGGGTAGGCCAAAATATACAAGCTAACTGATAGCCTTTAACTGTATATATAATTAATGTTAGAATACATGGATTATAAATGTTAATGAATAACTGCCTGATATTATGGTATGAAGTCTTATTCTGGTTGTTTTTGTTTTTCTATAATTTGAAAGAGCCTTATATAAAATCATATTGTAGATAATCTTTCAATGTTATCAAACTTATAACTTAAACAGATGTATCTGTGATAGACTGGCAAAAATTGATGAATGTGGCTATCTAGGTGGATGTTTATTGGCGTCCGCGCCGAAGCGCGGCGCCTCTTATGGAATGAAATCAGATTTTGTGAAAGGGCGACAGCAACTTCTCGAGCCTTTTTGTTATTTGATATGAAAACCATTATTTTTGCTTTTTATTTACGATGATTTACAAGGGATGGTTCAATATTAATTATCTTAATTGAATTAAAGTCTTGTCAAGTGAAACTGTCCCTATAAGGTATTAAAAAAAAATCTTATCATCAATTTACAATTACTACCATATGATTTTGCAAGAGGAAAGAAAAGGTTGTGTCTGGTATTGACAATGATTTGATTGTTGTAACAAAATGACAGTGAGACGGAAGTTATCAATGTAAATGATTGTTAAGATGCAAACGATACTTCACTTTCACAATTCAACATCTAAGACCTGTAGTCTGACTAGATTATTTTAGATATTGCGGTTATAGTTGAAATTAGGTTTATAGGATTATAAAGGATTACGATGTCAAATGTTTTGACCGACAGAGGATTTTTTCCTGATATATGTAAAACCGGGTAAAATATATTGTATTAACTTGTTAAAATGGCTTGTACTTGAGAGAGAAAGACTGACTAATGTTGGTCTTGAGATTTTTATTGAATAATAAGCAGAAAAAAAGTGTTGTTTTTTTGTTGGGGGGGGGGGGAGTGGGGTTTTTCTAGGAAAGATTCTCTTAATTTAGTGTAACTATTCTTTCCTTTCCTGGTTCATTCTGTTACTTGTTTGTTTTATTTATTTATCTACCTGTCTGTTTATCATGATAAATCCATTAGTTTATTGTTACTATTTATGTAAGTATTCATACAAACCAGGAAGAAAGTGACAGGATTGCATGTTATTTTCATTCATGACATAATATTCTGATTTTTATGAGCAATTAAATGATAAAAATACCTGATAAAATATGATTTATAGTTTAAAAGTAATGGTTAGACATAATGGGTTTTTAGGTGTGGTTTTCTGTGGTGGCAGCCATAATTACAGGTATTAAATGTAATAAAACAGAGCTGGAAGTAATCTAGGAACCAATTTTAGCAATATGATAGGCCATGTAGTGAATAATTGGTGAATGGTTCCTGTTTTCTATCAAATCAATTTTCATGTCAATGAGTATTGGCTTTGATTTGGGATGTTGTTTCGGAAATAATATAAAACATCAGTCTCATGTTTTAAACATGTATTTTGTGTAAGGCTGAGAAAATGAAACATTTGGAGTAACATTCAAGTCTCCTGCAGTGTTGAAATTGTTAAGGGCTTCTCTGAGAATATCTGCTTTGAAGATTGGTCTGATAAAAGAGATGTATGATGTTTTTTATGTTGTAGAAATTTCATAGGAATTATTACATAACATGTTCGATCTATTTGAAGGCTGTTTGGAGAAAAGAAATCAAGAAAAAATTTCTGGCATTTTTATTACTGGTAACATGTACAATAAGGTCATGTAAAACACATAGTTACACTGTATATCAGTCCGAAAGCTAGGGGTAAGAGGGTAAGACTTGATATTGCTGTTCAATATCATGTCTTGTAACTTATATTAAAGTTATAATTATGGAAAACATAATTTAATGGCATAATGAAGAGTCTTTTAAGGCAAAGGTCACTAGAAAATCTTTATTTTCAAAATTAATACACATACATTGTACAAGTTTCTGTGAAATAATGTTTTCTTTTATACTTGTGAAATACAAAGTACAGTGAACATGTTTTAGAATAGGTGTATTGAAGTACAATAGGTAGGTTTTTTTAGTTTTGTCCTCTGTCTATCTTGAAGAAAGCCAGATTTCTTCTTGTCAAAGTTAATAAAGTGCAGAGATAAATATATATAGAATGTTGCAGATATATTATTATGTTGTACTTAATGGTCTTACTGTGATCTTATCTCTATACAGGTGTGCTGCTTCTGTTCCATGATATACAACAACATAAGTCACTTGTCATGTTGGTGATTTTTATAATGTTTTCAAGAAGTGTAAACATTTTTTCATTGTTTGCTTTGACTGAAACAAGGACTTTTCCTTGTGTTTTATACTAAGAATCTAATGGTTGTAATTCTCAAACACAGCTGGGGTGTGTCCAGAGTTTTAGTTTTTTTCCTAAACCATTCAAATTTATACTGTAACCTTAGACTTTAAACTTTTTGATCAACTTAAAATGAATGAATCACTGAATCATTATTCTTTGAGAGGAAGCTTCTGAGATTGCTTACATTATTTGAGTTCACCTGCGCATGCCTGAAATAATTCTTAAGACTTTCTTTTACAAAGTCTAGACTTTCTTTTACAAAGTCTACTACTATGTTGTTTTCAGATTCTAATGATAATTTTGATGATAATCTGATTATTACCATAAGTGTCTGTTTTGGGGTTCTCCACATTATTAATAAGACTGTCATTATGGCATCCTCAAACATTTTAGGTATGAGTTCCACAGCATGCCCAGTACACCTGCAGCCTATTGCAAGTCTAATACACTTCACATCACTCTCCATATCTACATCTGATAAGCCCAGCAACAAACCTCTAGTTCTGATCTTATCTTTCCCATTCTTTACAAATATATTAGATTGTTATTGGAATGGCCAACATCAACATGGGTAATTCAAAGCTTTTGTTTGGAGTTCCTAACTGTTTGAGAAAAGAAATTGTACATAGCAAGCGTGCGTGCGTATGTTCTTCAATTTGTTAGATTTACACTATGTAGGAACAGTAATGCAACATAGTTATAAATCATTATAAAGATGATATTTAAAATTGATAATTGCTCATTGACTGTAACAACCTTGTATATTTTGAAAATTGAAAATATTTGATAATTGTAAAGAAACAAATTTTAATTATATTTATAGCAACATTTATAGCAACAAAAAGGTTTAGCAAACAGTTTAAGGAAACTCATTATAACATAAGTAGAATCAGAGACATAGATGTTATCTACATCTCTGGTAGAACCAAATTCTGACACTATTTCTTTAAACCATCATGCTTGTAATGTGTTCTTCAAATGTGAGAGCTGAACAGTAATTGGCACCTTATGGTTGGACAAAGATTTGACTATAAAATTTAAGATCTTGGAAGCATGAAAGTATGTACCTGCCAACTCTCATTATGAATAATGAGTTTGGCAGTGTGACCAGCCCGTGGACATGCTTGTAGTCAGACCATTAAAGAGACTTGGTAAAGAGGGAAACTCAATTTATCTTCTTTTTTCTTAACAAAATTCTGAAAAGTGTAAAAATATCACTCTCTATATGAAATATCATTACATCATTCAGTGATGATAAAAAGATTTTAAATTATAAATTTTGCAAGTCTATCACAGACTACTTCATTTGTTATTCAAGTAGGTTAGGGAGAATTGTGTAGGAAAATATCTGTTATATATGAATTATAGCACATATTTACTGAAGATAAAACATAATATAATGAGATATAAAACAAAGTATCAGCAACCGTTTATTGTGAAGTTATTACAGTGTAGAACAATAAGTATAGATATACATGATATAGATCAGTCTGCCAGTGAAGCTGATAAAGTATAGCATAAATCTTGATGTCATGTAGATCGTTAATATATATGTCTACCAGGGAAAGGAAGTGGTGAATTTCCATCATTAAAATTCATTTTGTTTAAAACTTAACACATCTGGTAACTAGAATATTTATCTTCATTAAAGAAAAAAAAGCATGGAAAATTTACAGTTCTTTCCTGTAAAGATATTTTTTTTACTGTAAAGCTGGTAAGCATTATCATGCAGGTTTTTGTTTTTTTCTCTCTCCTACATTTTATTTTGGTTAGCAAAATTTTGCATGTAAATTGTCAGGTTATGCATTTTATCTTCTATTAAAATTAAGTCTTATGCACTTGTAGTTTACAAACTGATCAGTAAAATTATAAGTTATGTCTCACATTGATAATACTTTTTATTCTTCCAGATGTATTATATGTATTCGTCTATGATTAAAGTAAATTCTCTTCATAGTGACTGTATTTTATTGAATGATACAGATTACGTCTATCACTGTAATAATTTCTTTACATGCAATTTACACAGGAAGAAAAATAGACATGCAGCTGTTTATAGAAAGTTAATTTGATTTACCTTTAAACTTCTGGCATTCACTGACATCTAGAGATCCAAATTTATTTTCAATTTCTTTGGATTGATGATAGGTTCTATTGAAATTGGCTCCTGAAAATATTTAAGCTAATGGATTTTTATGTTTATCTGGGTCAAATGTTATTTCTAACTTGATGTGTAAATTGAGCTGAAAATTTATAATTTGTATAAAAGTTAATGTCACACACAATAAAAATGATAATATCTAAGGTTTCAGAATTATATTATGTTTTATTAACCAGTTTATAGTGTTATTATTTCTTAATATTTCTTAAGATTGGTTGAGGAATAAAACCGGAAATCAAATCATTTTTCTGTTCGGATTTTTTATATCCCTACTAAGTAAGTGGAAGCATGCTATGATTGGTCTGGTCCATACATATGTATGTCACCTCTTCTTTGTCTGATCAATAGCTTAAAAAGGACTAAGCCATAGTTTATGTTGCTTGGTATCGGACCTAGAGTCAATGGCCAGTAGATATATCGATAAGTAGGTCATATTTCAATGTTGCTGAGACTTTGACCACTAAAAGCTTGTTTA